CTCATCCTTTCTTTCCCTCCCTTTCCTCCCCTCTTCTCCCTTCTCCCTCCCCTGTATCAACCATTTCCCTCCCCTTTATTTCTTTCTTTCCCTCTCCTTCCTCCTCCTCTCTTCCCTTCTCTCCCTCCTTCCTCCCCTCCCCTTCCTCCGTTCCCTTAACCTCTTCTCTCTACTCCCTTCCTTCTTCCCTCCTACCCTCCCTTCCTTTACCTCTTTTCCCTTCTCCCTTCCCTTCTTCTCCCTCCCTCCCATCCCTTCCCTTCACCTCTTCTTCCTCCCTCCTTTTCCTTCTTCTCCCTCCCTTCCTTATTTCCCTCCCCCCGTAACCTCTTCTCCCTCCCTCCCTTCCCTTCTCCCCTCCCATCCTCCCTCCCATCCCTTCCCTTCACCTCTTCTTCTCCCTCCTTTCCTTCTCTCCCTCCTTCCCTTCCCTTCTTCTCCCTCCTCCCCTTAACCTCTTCCCTCCCTCCCTTCCCTTACCTCTTCTCTCCCTCCCTCCTTCTCTCCCTCCCTTCCCTTCACCTTTTCTCCCTCCCTCCTTTCCCTTCTTCTCCCCTCCTCCCTCCTTCTTCCTCCCATCCCTCCTCCCCCATCTCTTCCCTTCACCTCTTCTTCCTCCCTCCTTTCCCCTCTTCTCCCTCCTCCCCTTAACCTCTTCTCCCCTCCCTTCCCTTGACCTCTTCTCCCTCCCTCCCTCCCCTTCTTCCTCCATCCCTTCCCTTCACCTTTCTCCCTCCCATCCCTCCTTCCCTCTCCCCCTCCCCCTTCCCATCTCCTCTCCCTCCCTCACCCTCCTCCCTTCCTTTCTTCTCCCTCCCTCCCATCCTTCCCTTCACCTTCTTCCTCCCTCCTTTCCCTTCTTCTCCCTCCTTCCCTCCCTTCCCTCCCTCCCTCCCTCCCCCCTTCCCTCCCCACCCTTTCCCTCATCTTGCGCCACAGTCTAACATTATTGGTCCTTCCCATTCACAAGAGATTTACCCACAGCTTTGCCTCCTCGCACTATCTCTCGGATGCACAATGGGCAAGGAGGACGTCGCCCAAATTAGACGGGACACGTTCGCTGCGTCGGGAGGAGGACTTTGACGAATGCGTCCTGTTTCGTGTACATTTCCCTTGCGTTTCCCCCTGCACGCAATTCCCCCCCCCCCTTTTTTTTTTACTTTCTTATTTTTTGGGGGGGAAATCTTTTTTTTTTTTTTTTTTTTTTTTTTTTTTGGCTCTATATATGTGGTTTTGAATTTTAGTTTTTATTTTCAGATTTTGATTTTCGTTTTGTTTTTATTCTTTTATTTTTTATTTTTTTGCTAATTTCTTTATCCGTTTCTCTGCGTTGTTGTTATTTATATTTGCCTTCCTGATTTTCCTATTCCTGGTTTCTCTTTGTTTTTCCCTACAGTCGATGTTCCAGTACCCTTCCCCGGACTCTGGACTCGAGTTAGCGATAATCACCCTTATGCTCAGGCCTGCACTCCGCCTAATCTCAGGAAAAGAAGACATGGCAACTCACCAAAACTTTGGACTCCTGACTCCTCAATAAAAAATAATAGATTGGCGTAAATAATAATGATAGAATGGCATAAATTATGATAACAGAATGGCATAAATGATGATAATTGAATGGCATAAATAATGATAAAAGAAGCATAAATAGTTACAATAAAATGACATAAATGATAATAATAAAAATGAATAAATAATGATAACAGAATGACAGATAGCAGTAATATAATGGCATAAATAAGAAAAAAATAGCATAGGTAGTAATAACAGAATGACATAAACAATAATAATAGAATAGCGTAGATAATAATAACAGAATGACATGAATAATGAAAATAAAAAGACAAATTATATACAGTATAAAATATTGTATATGATTCCTGACATCTGGCGAGGATGGTATGACTCCTTTGGGTTTAATTAAATAACCCTTTACACGTAGTTGGGTCCGCATGTACTTATCAAGGAGTCAATTAATAGTACTAGCTAATTACCCTTTTCTCTTTTGCCAAATTGTTATAAGTGATTTTGATAATAGCCTAATGATTGTCACGTCTTTATTAATAACATCTGTATTGAAAGCAATAGTAAAAAAAAAAATAATAGATAAACAAATGAAAATAAATAAATAAATAAATAAAGAAAAGGGGAAATGTGGTGAGGTGACGTGGTCTATTTATCAACTTCTTGGTGGCTGGGTACTTGTGGAGCCGTCTATGTGTAGGCATTCCACAGAGGAAAACTCCACTGAACATAACATTTCCTCGGCGGCAAAGGGTTAATTGTCAGCTGATTAGAATAGATAAAGAGAAGGCAAATCGGAGTCCTCCAGCATACCCAGTGAGTTACCAGCTATTGTTTTCTTTCCCATATGATTCGGGATATGATTCAGGCTTCTAAAATCCTCTGTCCGACCCTTAAACTTTTAAAACAGTGAGGTTCTATAGCCCACTTATATCTAAGAATGTTACCTTGTCCTATGATGGGTTTTGATTAATTT